AGAACAATACATACTCACCTGCAGCTTTATTATACATGTGTGCACACAAGCAAATCTGTCTAGCTTTATTGTAGCATACTGCTTGTGTGGCTTACATATTGGTATTGCAGATATGCATACTTTTTTTCTCAATTAATACATTCAAAAATCTTTCATAAAACGTTCATATTTCTAATTTCAAGTGCCTTGGATTTGTACTAAAAGAAAGAAGGAAAGGAAGAAAGAGAAAAAGAAAGGAAGGAAGGAAGGAAGGAAGGAAGGAAGGAAGGGAGGAAGGGAGGAAGGAGAGAAGGAAGGAAGGAAGAAGGAGGAAGGAAGGAAGGCAGGAAGCGAAGGAGAAGGAGGAAGGAGGATGACGGCCGGCCTGAATCCGTCCGTAATTCCTGCCTTCCTGCCTTCCTTACTGCTTCCTTCCATTCCAGGAGAGGAAGGAACGAAGAGAGAGACTATTGGAAGTATTTCTTGTTTGTTCACTGAATTTTATGGGAAGAATAAGAAACCAAGTTCTCCATGGTAGGTTCACTGACAGGTTTTTGAACAAATCTGGCACTAAAACCAATCAAAAAGCATGGAGTGAGATACACACAATCCCCACCAAAGAGGAATGTTTTATACTACACCATGGAAAATTTGGCTTGGTTTCCATAGCTGTAAGCCTCTGGAAACAGAGCTGTGCAGCCCAAGTGCATGGTGAGCTGGCGAGCTGGCAGAGGAGGTGCCTTCCCCTCAACTCGTGGGTCACCAGGTCACTGGTAATGCTGTCCCTGATGCAGAGGTATCTGGTACCAAAATGTGATGCCAAAAACATCCTTTTAAAAAAGGTATTTTTAGACCAACTAATTGAATTTACAAAGGCTCCATTAACATGTGCCAAAGGCCAAATCCCTGGCTGGAATAAGGAAATGATGCCTATCAGTGCTAGCACTTTCTGTGTGACTAAAGTTTCCTCCTTTCATTTTAACCTTCACATTTGTAAGCATGTTCCTACCATACTGTGCAGATTCCCTGTCCCACTTTTTCCCACTTTTTCTGGTGGGGTTAACTTTAACAATTTTGTTGTGTACTCAAAATACGGCATCTGAACAACTAGCCAAACTGCAGTTCTATAACACATCTTTTATAGGAATTATAGCTTTTATAATTGTGGAAGTAAGGCTAATTTTGTGTGCAACTGGAACAGCAGTAAGTTTGAAACAATAATGTGATTTTCTGTAGCATGTTCTGGACTGACTCTACACAATATGCATTTGCTTAGCACCCTGTACTATGACACAATGGTGGCTGTAATTCTGACAGTCCCCTTCATAAAGATGCCCTATTATTTTCAGTGATCTCTGTGGATAAGAACCGAGACTGAGATCCATATCTTGGCTGAAATTATCCATTGTGTTAAGGAGTTGTCTTTATTTCTGAAGACCTGGTCTATGTCCTCTATCTTTGTGCCCTCAAAATGAATGTCTAGGGCAAATCCCACCAGGTGCACCTAGTGCTGCTTCAGGGAAGCTGAAAGGGAAGCACTCTGAACAATGAACTCTCCCGTCAGGGGGAATGTTGCGCCAGAGAGTAACAGAAGAGATAAAGAAAAGATGTTGGGGGGTCCCAAAAGAAGAGTAAATATCACTTCCTAAGGCATTTTATCACACAGATACATTTGCATATTCCCTTTCCCTTCCCTTCATTTCCTTTCCTTTCCATCAGGGTATTTTGATAAAATGGTAACTGAAAACTTCAGTATTGGATTGTGGCCATATTATCATGACCATACTATGATAAAAGAAATGCTGTCAAAGCCTCTTTAGGATATGCTTAGTATAAATGTAGATTGCTAGGCCCGTGGGATGGGACTATAACCACACTTGAGAACAGGTCAGCAGAGAAGAAAATACTTGGGGAGGCAATTTTCCAGGGATGTAAGTTAGCCCTATTTAAAACAGGCTGTGGAAAAGCCTCATTTTGGAAGTGTGATTCAGATATGCTTGCAGATATGTTTTCAGTTCTGAAAGCAGTGAGATAATGAGGCTTAAAGCGGATTTATCATTGCCCAATAGCCAGCATTTCACAACCTGAAATAAAATTACTCAAGGCTCCTGTAGTGCACGCTCCAAGTTGCATACACCTCCAAGGCGAAAGGCAAGTGGTTGAAATGGTTTGGAAGTACAGCACGATTGCATCAGCCAGGTGAGGAGCTGCTGGAGATGATTCTCAGCCCTGAGTCAGCAGAGCATGGCGTGGTACCGGCTGCACTGGAGGTGGTGCAGGGCTCCCTGCCTCAACAAGAGCCTCGGGAAGCATCTTGGCTGAGAAAGTTCTCCTGACACCTACTCCCTCTGCAGTCATTTTCACATCTCCACAAAGGATGCAGCTATCTCCCTTTGGGGGAGCCTTCCCTACTCTGCCCTGAATGATAGGCATCTGGTTTTGTCTAGCATTTATAGGGATTATGCAAAATGAGTTTGGGAAGATGAGGGAAAAATGGATGATGGATGTCTATGTCCTTGTTTCAGGCACGTGCATTACGGCACTAAATGTGACAAATTAATGTCCTTGAAAGAATAAAGACCTTTGAAATTAAAGTGTTGGAGACTGCACAAATGTGCAGTCATCAGTGCAGACTGTTGAGTGGCCCAAATTTCATATTTTATAAAGCAGTTTTCTCTGAGTTGCTTACCACATCTGCTTGGCGGATTATGAAGTAGGGAAGGGAAGGGAGAAACAGCAATAACTTTTACTTATTAGACCACAAGGGATCAAAACCAACTAGCTGTACAGAACTGTGAAACAAAGCTGTAATCCTCAGCTGCTTGCCCTTTGGTACCCTGGATGGGAGCATCCACATTGGCATGGTTTGTCCTCTCACAGCACTGCGTCAGAGAGCAAAAGGCTCCATCCAGCAAGTCTGGTACGATATTTGCTGATGGAAAGAGGACAGCTGCTGTATGCTCATTGCTCTGAGGGGAATGTAATCTATGAAGGAAGAATGTGCATCTGGGGACCTCAGCATTTCAAAAGGCACCATAGTCAAGAGTTCTTAATACTGCCCTCTCAGAAATATTAGCTGCTCAGACCACTATGTTTTTCCTTTTTCTCATTCAGCCCCACAGGATAAGAACAAGCCCCCTTAGTATGACTGTTCATTTTTGTATGTGTGTGAAAATTCAACCAGTTTTAGAAATTTAATTTCTTCAGAAAAATGGGCAATTGTTCTAACTTGTAAAGAGTTATTGAACATGCATATATATATATTTTTTATCCTTTTACTGGTTTTGCCAGAAGCCCCTGACCATGAGAGATAATGAAATGGGGTGATGACAGTGCCAGACGGAGGAGTCCAAGCATAATGTCACCAACCTACAGAACACAGTGTTCAATAGTGGCATGAAAGATGCTTTGTGAGCCAATAGAAAAGCTGGGAAAGGACTGGATGGGCACAAAAGCTGACTCTAGCTATATATCCCAGCGCTGCCTACGTAGGGAGATGTCATCACGCTGAACATTACAGCCTCAAATGATTCCTTAAAACCACAAAGTCTGCAACTGTTCATTTTCTGCATATTTCTCCCACATAAGTGGAAAATATATATTGAGGCAAACAAATGCCATTTAAACAATAAATTCTTATACAAGTATCTTTTATTTTAACTGCTGGGATGGTCAGGACATGCTGTAATGGTTGTATTCACCCCATTTTTAGGTACTTGGAATTGTTTTTCTCCTCTCCACGTTGAAAGACCTGCAAATTTTCTGGCGTTGGTTTGCAAATGTGAGTGGTACAATTTGTACCATTTCTGTACTAAGTGCTGAAAATGTGTCTTATTATTTCCAAGGTGTGAGCTGTCTTTAATTAAAGACTTAAATGCAATACAAACCACACTAATAAAGTGGATAGACTAAGTCCTTAGTACCCAGCCTTCGTAGAGCAGCCTGCACAAGCACAGCACGGTCATTCACCTCATCTCCTCCTGGCATCAATGTCTTTCGGACTTGAATTTATGCAAATGTAACTCTGTGCAGTCCCCTCCTATCGCTGTGGGAGTCTTAGGAAAGAAAGCAGGCAGAGCTGGACCAGATTAACCAGCTTGTCAAGCCAGATCTACTTTGTTGATTTGAGTTTAGACACCTCTTTACAACATAAATTAGTATTATACCCAATTCAGGCCATATTTGGGAGCTAATGGTCTTAGGAACACTATAGGTGGAGATGTTTCATGATGTACTGGTGCTTAATTGGTGAATATTTTGAGTTTATGGTAAATTAATGGTACCAAACTATTTAGCCCATTCCTTATGCTGCCTTTATGACCCTTACCAGAATTAATCTCAATTAAAAAAATCCCCCTTTTTCACAACTCCATGGCTGAAAAAAAAAAATAAATTAAAAAATCAAGGCATACTACATAGCTGGAAATGTGGATGTCTTTCTTCATGTTATCTATATCGTTCTGTAATAACACCTTGCTGTTCTTTGCAGTGCTTTCTTTGATCTTCAGTAACATATAAGGAAAATTTAATCACTATCACTCTATTACAAGTAGGGAAATGGTATAGGGAATGTTATTTAAAGTGGCATGCTTAAACTCATTCTCAGAGAGTTGGTTGCTGTACTATGAATGGAAGGTATGTTTTAATAGTTTTTTACTGACTAGTACCACCACAGAAGTTGCAACAGAAATTATGGGTATGCTGTTGAAAATTCTGGAGGGATGATATGTATTGCATGTTGTGCAAGTGAGATCAGAAATTAGCTACTTTTTGACTTGAGAAATCTAGAAATTAAAAAAAAAAAAAATGCATTTGCAAGCTCTGGGAAACAAGCACTGTCTAGGGAGAACTTAATGCCTCTTGGGACAAAACTGATGGTACTCAAGAAGATGTGACTGAGTGCCCACATTCCTTTATCTAGACACAACTTGCAGCTGTAAGCTTGCAAGGTGAACACTGCTGCAAAACCAGACTCTGTCATCCCAGGCCTCAGACTATAAAGACAAAGAAGAAAGCCTTAGTAACATTGGTGAACCATTTTGTTTTGCAGCTGGTTGATTGACATGGCTTTTGAGACTAATTAGGATTTTGAAACCATAACAATAGATCCCCAGAGAAGGTTTAATAGACTGAACAGGAACATGGCATCATACAGACACCACCTTCTTCTATTTAGGATATTTTTAGAGAGGAGTAAGTTTCTTGTTTTCTATAACACATTAAGAAGAATATCACTTAATTGTGGCCTTTCCTGCAGATTATTTAACAGGAGTTGACCTGGGAATAAAAAGGGAACACATTATTACATTCTTTGCCAAAGAAACCAAACCAAACCATAACCAAAACACATTGAAAAACAATGAAGGCAGATAGTTTCTCCAGAGTTCAACTGTTTTCTTAGTTCTTCACTGTACAGGGGTGTCAGACCCTCTAGTGCACTTGCTTGTTTGGAGTATATATAAGTAAAGTAAATGCTGAAAGTGAATCAGGCAAGCACATACCTACAGAGAGAATAATGCACAAAAATAACATGTTTTTTGTTGTTGTTGTTGTTGTGTTTTTGTTTTTTTTTTTTTTTTTGTTGTTTTGTTTTGTTGTTTTGTTTCTTTTTCAAGCTTATAACAAACAGGTCAGCTTAATATAGAGATACAATTCTATACAACTATTATTTTTGTTCACATTACAGGGTCGTGTTAATCAAACTATGCAGTTTTGTGCTGACCTTGTTAACAAGCATGAAGAGACCAAAAGCACTTTGTCATTTCTGGTGAGGCAGCTAATGCAAAGCAACACCTTTGTGAGTTTTACTGGGCTATGAAGGATGGGGCCTACAACTGCCACTGCTGGGTTGCCGGACACCTCAAGTCTCTCCCAAAGTCAGTTCAGCATGTGTGCAGATCAAGGGGAAGTGGGACATAAGTAAAGAAGAATAAAATAAAATGGACCATAATACTAGTGAGTTAGAAAAGAGAGGGAAAGAGGCAGCAGGTGAGTTTGGGAGTGGTTTCTCCTTAAATGCTTATAAATCCCAGTATAATCCTGAAAGCTTGGACTGAGAAATTCTAAGAACAGATTTTTGTTTGGGTGAACTGATGTTTCCAGAGGTTTTGGTAATGGGTTTTACAGGTTTCATTTAATTGCTTTTTATCTGGGAAAACAGCCATGAATTTGTGACTGATTGGAAATCCAGATGCAAAGTTGAGCCATTTTTTGCAGCTAGGCTTCAGTCAATGTAGTGAACAGTTAAGGGAAAGTACAAGGAGTTCCTGAGGGAACATTTGGGGAGGGAGTAGTGTAAACTGTCTCCATGTTGGCAAGAAAGAACGTCACTAGGAATTAAAAAAAATCTTACTTACAATGAGATGTAGAATTGTTACTGAAAGAACTGTAAATGAGGAGATTTGATGTTTTCTTTTTTTCTAAAGAAAGGCAAAAAAAAAAAGTGTTTGTCTCAAGAAAGGAAATATACGTGGGAACATTTATTATACAGTTATTTGTTGCCTAGCTTGCTTTCAGAGTGCTATAGCGCATCCAGATGGAAACATCCTTCTGGACATGAACAGAACAGCATGCAACACTAATAGAGGGCAACCAGGCACATGGGAGAACAGGCCAACCCCCACCTCTCTACAGCCTCCTTTAATGTACTTATACATAGCAATAAGGTCACCCTGAGCCTCCTCTTCTCTAGGCTGAACAAGCCCAGCTCCTTCAGCCGCTCCTCATAGGACTTGCTCTCCAGGCCCCTCACCAGCTTCGTCGCCCTCCTTTGGACCCGCTCAAGCACCTCGATGTCCTTCTTGTAGCGAGGGCCCAAAACTGAACACAGTACTCGAGGTGCGGCCTCACCAGAGCCGAGTACAGGGGGACGATCACCTCCCTAGCCCTGCTGGTCACAGTGTTTCTGATACAAGCCAGGATGCCGTTGGCCTTCTTGGCCACCTGAGCACACTGCTGGCTCATATTCAGCCGACTGTCCACCATCACTCCCAGGTCCTTCTCTGCCTGGCAGCTCTCCAATTCCTCTCCCAGCCTGTAGTTCTGCTTGGGGTTATTGCGCCCCAGGTGCAGGACCCGGCACTTGGCCTTGGCAGCTTGTTTCCTTAGCCTGTTAACAGGCCAGGCCTGCCTCCCCTGTCCTCTCCTATAGTTGTGAATAATTTTAACATACACAAAGTAGTCTCAAGTAACAGAATTTATCCCCCAGAGGGGAAGAAGTGAAGATCTCTATGGCAAAAAGAACTATGCCACAATGTGCAGTCCAACTCTGAGCAAAAGAAAATGGTGGAATCTTTTTTTTTTTTTAATGGAAAAAAAATTTAGAAATAATAAATAAATAAAATAAATAAATAAAATAAAATAAAATAAATAAATAAATATGATGCAGTTTTTATATGTACCTTTTTACCTTTTGTTTTTAGAAATCCCTCTTCAGTGACCAATTTCTTTGACCTTTGCAGCAAACTGCCACACTACATGCTGAGCCTTTAAATGAATTGGCAGAGACACACCCTTGGAGCTTTAAGTCCTCTCATATGGATTATTTTGAAGATTATGGGGTGCTGTGATCTCCCACTGGAAACAGAAGCTAGTCTTTGAAATTTGAGAGGCTTAGCTAACATCTACAGAGCCCACCAAACTATGTAGCTTTACAAGTACTACCACGTTTTGCAATGTTTTCTATTAACCTCATTTTGTTTCTGTTGTGCTGAAGTATTTTAAATGTCTCTTGTGCTTCTGCTGCAAAGTAAAACCTTGTGTCAGGTGGGTAAGGGATAACTGCTCCTGAATGGGGAAGCAGAGACTCAATCCTTGCTTGTGACAGGAGCAGAAATCACTGCATCAGCATGCCTCTGCATTATTCATCGTTGTTTTCCATTCAGCTTTCATTTCTTCACCTCACAATAAAGTGCAACCCAGGTCATGATCTAGCCTTCTTCCTCTGTCTTCATTTCTCTGGCGGGAGGGTGTGTTGGGGTTAGCGGGGGGAGCAGATGCTCTCTCCCCTGGGGAGGAGACAAGTTTCATGGCTAATAGATGGGAATGTTGAGTGCAGAGATAGAAGGAGACATAAGTGTCTGTGGAGAGAGCATGGAAGAGGTGACTCTAGAGCTAAGCAGGTTAGAGCTTTCACATGTTAAACCTGTGAAAGAGCACAAGAGATAATTTTCTTCTTATTGCAAATTCCATTTTACTGCTAGAAATTTCTGAAATAGTACTGCCCCTTCCCATTTTCCCACATCTTTCTGCAGCTTTCTCCATATTTACCTGCTCCCATGCTTACTTTTCCTTTATTTCTTAGCATAGTGCTGAGGTCTGATTCTGGCTGTGTGACCAAGGAGCCTCAGGCAGACTGGGAAAGTGTCCTTCAACCCTGATGGGAAAGCAGAAGGTAACCAGCTCTCTGACCACTCCTATTGCTTCATTGAGTATATGCTACAGGTATGTGCTGTCTGTAGTGGCACTCATGCATGATAATTTAGAGTTATTAGGTCACCAGTTGTAAAGCAAAAAATTAAGTTTAGTAGAGATACAATTAGGAGACTTTTAATTTCCTTATCACGCTATCATGGAAGTAAATAGAATCAGTTTGTGGTAAAACCATCAAAGAAGTTAATTTACCTACATTTTGCCTGTTACAGAGAATGTGTAATCAGAGCAGCTATAGCCTTGATGTCTAAATACTGGCCAGGAAAAACTCATAAGACAACAAACAGGGCACAACACAGAAATTAATGGTCCTTCTGTAAAACAGTCCAAGCAATGTTATGTTTCTCCTCGTCTTGCCGGGCTCACAAATCCTCAAAGAAATGCACTGAAGACAAATTTCTTCACCAACTGCATGAGTCAAAGGGTGGATGGATGCGTCTCTGAAAGGCTGACAGCAAGAGGACGTGCCTTCTAAAACACAACAATAATTATGACAATTATATGTCAGGGCTAATTTACAAAATGATGCTTAAATATGGCGAAGTTTTATTGCAGAGGAGGGATGAAGAGTTAGCAGTAGTTACACTATTTTCTTAACAAAAAAAGAGTCTGTGTTTGTAAGTCCATCAGTGTCACAGGTGATAAGAAATCTAACAATAGATGCCCAAAGTAATAGGGTGTACTTTACAATAATGTTTTGTTACTGCAGAACCAGAAAATAATCTATGATTTGAGACTCACTACAAGTAAGAGCTGTCATGTCATAGGCTTTAACCTTTGTAACTGATTTTAGTCATCTGTGACCCAATTATGAAAACTCTAGACTTTTGCAATGCACTTGGAAATAGTAGGCTAGGCATGAGAATGCTGCTATAAGCTGATTGTATTTTCTCCTATCTTGTGACCCCTAACCTACTTAAAATAACTATCAGATGACCTTTTCTGTTTTGTTTCGTCAGCAAAGAAGACGGGATATTTTAATGAGCCTTTAATAAGCAGCTTCGTGCCCCAGATGGGATTCAGGAGGGTGGTTCAAAATGGTATTCAAGGTGGGAATGTATTTCATCCAACTGCAGGTACAGAAATTGCCTCAGCCTAAGTCCAACACAGTCACCAAGGCTCCCTCTGTAGGAAAAGGAGCAGAATCCCAATGGCCTTACATTTGCGAACGAGATCAGCTGTCCCCTAGCACTTTCTGTTTTCCCCTGCTTATTAGAGAGCACAACTGACTAGATTATGTGTAATCAACTTCCATCAAGATAATAAGGCAAATTAATTCCACGAGGTATGTCTAAGAATAAAAGCAAACTGAGATATAATTGTGTGCCATCTCTGCATGGAGTATTGAGCAACATTGCTAAAATGGCCTGCCAAAATGCCTGACTGATGAAAAGTAGTTTAAAACTGAACCAAATCAAAATGAAAGCAGAACTGAGGAGAAGCCAAAAACTTGAAGCAGGTGTAGTTCAGAGTTGGCCCACTCTTGGATACCCCAAAGAAAGGTAGCTTATTCATGCACTTTTCATCTGTCTTATAAAGGGAGGGCCTAACTTGTTATTTTTGTTTTTATCGGTAGAGATAACAGGCTTCATGTACTTGCAGTGGTCTTCAGGGACCAAGATACATTTCCCTGTCATGCCCATGCAGTTGTGGCCCCTGGGCTAGGACACGTGCCAAGCTTCCTACCGCTCTCTCGCCAAACGTCAGGAGTGTGAGGTGGTGTCCTCATGCTGAGGATCTCTGTGTCTCCACATTTTGGACCACCACACCCCCTGGGCTTTCACTGATGTCTTCTCAAGGGGATTATCAATACAACACAATACGCCTCCAGCTACGGAATGGCCTAATGGAGAATAGGGGGAAATAGTTAAGATTACATCATGGCTCCGAGCTATCTGAACCTCACAAATCTGGAAAGCAAATGTTGAACTCAGGAAAACCTTCATGTCGCCCATTGTTAAGTGAAAGCCTGGGAGAAAAATGAACAAATACAATGCATTTTTTACTAAATACTGTTGATCTGCTCAGAATAAACATTCTAAAAATGCTCTCATGGAAGAATAGTGGATATAATTGATGCATTTTTGTTTGGACACATTCACGAGCATGAGGAACTATCCGTTTCCTGATGATTTCCTCTCTTGCCAGTACCTATTAAATCTTTTTTTAAGGAGCTGTTTGCCTTGTTGCCATCTGATCTGTTCATTGAGGAAAGGAGATTTAGTTTTTGTGTTTGCAGGGCATGTGAGAAGGCTTATATCAATGAATCACTAAGAAGGAAATATCCTAATTTACCTGCAAAAGTGTAATTGAATGAAATATTTTTGGGGGCTTTTAGCAACATAATGCTGAAAGCATTACAGGTTTTGGACTCAAACAAGGGAGATGAAACTTTGTTCAGAGTTATATAATATACCACGGTGGCCAGAATATATCACTCTTTATATATCACTCTTTGTCTTCATAATAAATTAAAATATGACACTATTAATTTCACAGGTAAAGACAGATAAGATGACTTTTAGGTTCTGATGATCTTGCACAATCCATCAGAAGACATCTTTTCACTTCTATATTTAATGTACAGATTTTATTTTTTTTTCTCACACAGAAAAGGTTCATGGAAGATTTCAATAGTAAGTGAGGGTCCTGATATTTTCCTCAGCCAGGGATTTTTTCAGATCCTTTGCAAGTGCTCTCAGCTAGAAGAATCTGTCTGCATGCTTCCTGATGGGCATAGCATAGCAGGCTGTATCTTTTGTGATATTCCTGCTGACCGTTGCTCTTACTTTTCAGTGGTGACGCCTGTGAGTCAGTGCTTCAGGCATGTTACACTCAGTTCTCCCACTGTTATCAAGATAAAAATGTGCCACAGGCAACTGTCCATCGAGCTTACCTCGGCTATTCACTGGTTCTTCCACTCCTGGCCTCTTGTCCTGGTTTACTACTCATGCTCCAGCCATGAGTTTTCTCTTTCTTTCATGCCCTTTTGGAGAACATGACTGTTGGTTCAGCTGTGGGTATGGAGAATCTGAAGTAAGCAGATAAAATGAGCTCCACAAGGCTCCTCTCTGTCTCTCAGGGCTGTTTTCTACATTGTCCTATCTCTGGGACACTTTTACCAGGTCTGAAATTTTCTTCCTTAATCTTCTGGTTCATAGTTTCTCACAGAGGAGGTGGGCTCTGCATGGGCCCCATGACTACCCTTTGTTAAAGCTTGATATAGGACTTTTCTGTATCTCTGTCCAATGTCTTTTGGGCTTTTATTTAGTTTCTTTCTTAAAAGAGGGTCCTACCCTCCATCCCCTAGGTCTGCTTGTGGTCTCTGTTCCTATCCATACTGCTGCTCTACAACCCAGATATATATTTGTCCTGTAATGGCTAATCATTTTTTTCAGTGAACTGGAATTCAATAAAGTCCAGCATCTGAGCTGCAGAAATTCTCTTACAATAACATTTTAACTTCTTCCAGGAATCACTCAGTGTCCATGAAATGTAACTGTCTCAGAATGATAGAATGGTTTGGGTTGGAAGGGACCTTAAAGCCCTCCTAATTCCAACCCCCTGCCATGTGGTCTTCCGCCAGACCACATTGCTCAAAACCCCATCCAGCCTGGCCTTGAACACCTCCAGGGGTGCAGCATCCACAGCTTCTCTGGGCAACATATGCCAGTACCTCACTACCCTCAGAGTAAAGAATTTCCTTCTTCTATCTAATCTAAACCTAGTCTCTTTTAGTATAAGACCATTACCACTTGTCCTATCACTAATAGAATCACAGAATTGAATTGTAGTGCATTGATGACATGTTCATCTGTTGATCCTGTCAGTTGTTTCCAATCAGTATCTCAAAATTATTTATTTTAAAATAATTTGAAAGACTGCATTGTGAAAAAATATCTTTTTTTTTCTCTTTTAAGAGTTCATCCTTTTTCAGGTCAATTTGCTTCATTATCTTTCTCTTCTTTTCATGACTTATTATCAAGGCCTATCATCCATCAAATGTAACTGAGCTGTCTCCAACAATAAATTTCTCTTGTTCCACATTTCAGCGTGAGGTTATAGTTCTGGAATGTTTCTGCTAAATCATTTCTCACGCTAAATATTTTCTCTTCCAGCTATAAAATTGCATGATCCTGATTATTCTCACCAAGATAGCAACTTAGAGGCGTGGATGCCTTCTCCTTACTGATTTTTAAGGACAGATCATAGAAGGTCTCACAGGACAGGTTTAAACAAGTGTTCATTACTCTTCCCACTTGTCTATAACATCACTGTGCAAGCTGATAGTGAAAGTTATTTCTGTAAATCTCAAAAGAGTAGGCCATTCCCAGAATAAACGGTGACACCACCGTCACTCTGACTCAAGATTATCTCTTGCATAAAATGTACAGTACAACCTTTGCTTTGCTTTGTTCCTTCATTTAGACTGGTGAGTGCTATGAAGCCACTCCAGAAAAACTCCAGGTGGTGTACGTGTCTGTGGTGGAAGACCTTGTGAGTAAATTGAACCTTCTCTGCATGCCAGTGTTTGTGCTTTGATACACATTTCTCCTTACCTGCTGGTATGTGGCACCATTGCTGTTGAATTCAAATATACTAATCTAGCTGTGCATCGGTGTTACTCATAACTTCCTCCTGCCTGAGAAACCTTCCCAGCCACCTTCAAAGTACTTGCTGCAACTTTGAAGTCACAGTAAGTCAGAGGAGCCTGCTGGTAGGGAAAGCTCACTCTTTGTTTCCTTTCCCTTTACATCAGGTAGTAGGAAGCCAACTTTTCACCTTGTGCAAATCAGCACAAGGTTGTTGAGGACAGAGAAATTGCCTGTTCAAATCCAGGTGACTTCTTGTCCTGAGGGCATCTGGAAATACAGACAAATATCCAAAGGACTCTCAGAACTTGTGGTTTATTTATCTTCTTGGTCATTTCCTCAATCCTACCTTCCTTTAAACAGAGAAAAATAGCTTATTAAAACTTGAAAGAATACCCGATCATCTTCTGTTTCCCAGCTTCCTGCCTTTCCAGACAGCTTGTAATTTGTCTAAAACTTACAAGCTATTTATTTAGCTACCACAATAAATATGGAAAGTTTTCTCTCCATACTGCTTCTTGTCTAAAACTTTCTGTTATTTCAGAAGGAGAGATCTGCTGGATGGGAGAAGTGTTTCCATAGCTATCAAGCTATATGGATGTAAGGAAGTGGAGTTTGCAGGAAAAGATTTATTACGTCTTTATTAAACTGGCTGATACTGCCAGAAAACTTGGGCAACATTTCAGGCTCAGAATCCCTTAGACATCCCTTTTACTGTTTGAGCCTGACATTTGGGAGGAAAATATCACTGATGTGTATATTTCAAATTGTCAGTTTCAATCACTTATGTGCTGGCAAGGACTGTGAGTATGTCTCCGAGTACGTCTCCATTAAAAAAAAAAAAAAAAAAAAAAAAAAAAAAAAAAAGCCCCTACCTTTTAGATTGTGCCTCATTGATGGATGGGTGGTTCACCCAGAAAAATTGTTTGAGATAAACGCATTTCCAAAGCTGAGTATGGGGATGTATGTAACAGTGAAGTCACTCAAGACTGCTTTTTTGAAAGAATCAGTATGCCTGTCACTGACAGCCCTTTGTTAATTAGCTGACACTATTTTCTATTAAATTGCACTGATTTTCTCAGTACTGTAATGTCCTAGCGACATTAGGCAAGAATAGCCAGTTCAAGCCTATTACTACATACTCTGCAAGTATTACCAGATGAGGAAAAAAGAACAACCTTTCAAGTACTGGGAGAAAGGTTGTTTTAGTACTTTGGAAATCCTTTGTGTTTCTTCTTTGACCTAGCAGAGTTCAAAAACTGCCCAGTGGTTTCTTAAGGGTTTTGCAACCGGGAGGCAGACTCTGGCAGAATATCAAGCGCTGAACGGATTGTTTCTTGGTACTTTCTGAATTCACTCAGTAAAAGTGTTTGGAAGCAAGGCAACAAAAGAAATGAGCCATCACCAGCTATATTCACTCCTGGTCAATAAAGGGTCCTCAGTTTGAAGGTAAGCTTCGAGCAGTGCTCTGTGAGACCCAGGCAAGGCTATGGAGGGGCAGACCGAAGCACATCTGGAGTTTCAAGCAGAGAAGAAAAAGAACAACAAAGGGCAGAGTACTATTGTCATATTGCTGGCTCCTCCTATACACAGCACATGATGTTGAATATCACTGAGGAGAGTGCCGCAGCTCTGATGTCAAATGCTGTCTCCCATACGTGGAGTTGGCAAGTGATCTCTCTACTGTCGCTGTACAAAATTGCAGATCTACTTCGCTTTTGCTATATAAAGAAGTCTTCGTCATCAGTCTGCAATGGGCCCAGTCCTGCCAAGTTAACAGCCCATCTCAGTACTAACAGGCAGAAATCTCTTGGACCAAGGGATTTTTGTTGCAGGTAGGGAGGGGGTTATCCGGGACTCCATTCTTCTCCTCTGCAGCACCTCTGGCCCCCTCCTACCACTACCACACCCTGAGCTCAAATCTGTAAACCTTTTGAACTATTTTAAAAAATGTACAGCTTGTCCTCTAAGACATAGGAAATTACATTTGATGGTCTATTGTATAAGAATTGCCATATTTAGAGAAAAATCAACAGATACAATCTCTGATTTCCTTTTCCCTATACTCCTCGTATTCACCTCCTCTTGCTTTGCTTGATTTTGCTGCTGCCATGTTGTAGCAGACACAGATGTCACCAATTAGAAGATGGATTTAAAACTAATGAGAGCTAGGTTAAAAGAGCCTGCCTGCTCATCTAGCTGCCAATGGTGAGTTGTGTCTCTGCCCTAGTTCACATATGGTGTTCTTGATGCTTTGTAGTGCTTTTAAAGGTGCTCCTGAAGTAAGCTTCTATTCAGCCCATGCAAAAATATGTCATATATAGTGTCATATATAAGGAAATATTTGCTCACTCTTTTACAGATTCTGAAGCAGTCTTTCCAGTACTCGAAAGAACAGAGGTCAGTGACGTTAGATTGGATCAACAGCTACACAGCTAAACTCTAAAGAGGACTTCTAAATGCAAAACTTGTGTTTCTTGTGATTAACTATTTGGTGTTATAAGTTTCCTCAGTGAAAGTAAACTCTGCAGCAACACTGATCAGGAAGGAACTTGCTAGCAGGAGCTCAGTAACTCTGTAGTAGCAAACTGCATTTGCAGAAGGGCTGAATTGGAACACCACCAAGCAGAATAAAAACAGAAAGGTGTGTTTTAAAATTAATGCAGTAAAAGTTAAGCTTTCTGATTTAAAAAGAAACTCCTTAACATTTTGAAAACTATGGATCTGGCTAATTTCAAAGCCAACAAGATAGTCGATAAATTCAATAAATACATTTTTTTTAAAAAAAGCTCCTAAATAAAATTAAGACACATAAATACAACTTATCATTTACCATTGAGACAATACTTCAATACTTTATTGGTTTAGACATGGAGAAGCATTCTCATGCTCAGTTTCCAAACTGCAGTGGACTCCCTTTGGACCAAAGGACAATTGCAAAGATCCAACTTACAATCGTAGATCAGTGCAGACTTTGACCTGGCTTTTCCCAAAACAAATACACATTTCTGTATCTGTTGCACACATGAATTTATCTCCTGGGTGAGGTTTGTGAATAAATATCTCCCACACAGCATATGCTGGTCAACTCTTAAGTCACAAAACGTAGGCTCCTGCAACTTGTTACCCAAAGCAATTTATGTGCCCAGCTCCCACTAACAGCAATTTTAGTGCAGTTAAAACTAGTTTTTCATGATGTGTTGTTTTAGAAAGTTAAGAATTTGAGCGCACAACTCTAATTTTCAGAGACTTTTTTTTTTTTTTTCCATGAGTTTTCTCTTGTTGCACTGAGAGTGGTATTGCAAAATGGAGCTGGCCATTATAAATAAAAAAAAGGTAATGCTTTCTGCTTTTCCCGGTCCCACTAATTTAAATGTTTATGACAAGCTTCTCCATTTTGAAGGCATATGTAAAACTTGCAACCTGGCCAAGACTTTCTGTAATATGTGCATTTATAATATGGAGGTTCAGTTAACTTAAATATAATGTTCATTGTCACCCTTCTGGCTCCTATTCACTGCTCTACAAAGAACATCTTGCACTGTGAAATACCCATGTAACTACAATGTTTGTATTCACATGGAGCAAATTATAAGCACATGAAAGTAAAGTACATTCCTCATGATATTTACACTGCTTGAAGATTAAGAATACAATAGATTAAAAGAATCCAGGAATAAAGTGGTCTCTGGGGAGCATTCACAATATTTGTGTAAGGTTATGCTCATTTAATATATGAAGCACAAATAAAGCACTAATAGAAATGTTTGAAATATTTTCCAAACATTCTCATTATATGGCCTTACCCCCCTTCAGCTTCTGTATTGCATCAGCAGTGGAAAAATATCAGGAAAAATATCAGAGTCTAGCTTGTGCACAATTAAAAAGTTCAACATATGTAGTTATACAAAAATTGGAAAAACATTCCCAGAAAGTTACTGTTTCCAAATAATGGATTCCCTCAAACAAACACTTAGTCCTTTCTTGCAGTATCAATGCAGCCTGACTTCCTGTAGATGATCTGAAAGCTCCAGTAATTACCGGGGGCTTGATTAAATGCATTCAGTGTAATTAAGTTGATTGGCACTGTCTGGAAAGCTTGACCATTTCTTGCTTGCATCAAGAAGTGACAGACATTTTGTGTCTTGAAACAAAAGCTGTTATCAAAAGATGAATCATTTTGAAATGAAAGATTAAATTATATTTTTTAGATCTTAAAATATATTGGCCAAATGGCAGGTATTACAATCTCATCTAGCAGATGCCAGCTGAAAAGCAATAAAAACAGCAGTAACGCAAATTCACAGGTGACACACTTCAGAAGAGTTCCTAACTTATCATCCTTTTGCTGCAATACCATCTTGAAAACAGCCTTCACTCTTTCGGTATTAAATATTTTTTCAGAAATAAAGAAATGAACACAGATGTCTGCTACCTTTTTATGGATCACAAGACATCTACCTCTAACTGTATGCTATATTCTTACTCAATTTAAATAGTAATTTAAGTTCAAGGCTTATTTGGTAAATGCTAGCAGTCATCCCGTTAGTGGTGAGAAGCCAAAAGCCCAGGTATGAAGCAAATCTGTGCCCGGTGGGATTTGACTGTCAAGCATGCACTGCCATACTTACCACTTTCTATACAGTTAGATTACTTGTAATGAGACCAAACAAACAAAGAAAAAACAAACAAACAAACAAAAAAACTTCAAGAATATTTTATAATGTGTGAATGGAACCTATAAATTGATTTCCACAATACTGGAAAATTAAATTTATCTGAAGTGACTGTGCAGAAAAGACTTGCCTTGAAAGAGTATTCCATTTTTTTTCATGTCTACCTGACCCTGCGCTAATGTTTGGAGAGCATGTATTCTTCTGCGTCATTTTTAAAACCTTTTAAATGATTTTAAGTCATACTCATCCAGAACTCAGTCAACACCAGGCAACCTAAGATCCAAATGTTGTTATTCCCTGTGAAAGTTCAGAAATCAATGTGTTCGTCTGACTGCAAGACTGGAGCACACTACTCTCCTTAGGCACAGTGTCACGGCCTTCATCCTGACCCAGAAGTTTCTTTGATTATTGGACTGTTAACTGATGCCTGTTAACATCAGTGGGCATAAAAAAAAACACATCAGCAACAACAATAAAAAAAAAAAATACACCACAGCTCTGTCTGCACATCAGTGTCCTTTGAATCAGAATCTGCCTTTTGAACACCTTTGCACAAATTCAGTTTTTGGTCAGCAGTGCTTTGAAGATTTCTGCATCAAACTCCATTTTGTGGCGTAGACACCCCTGTGTTAGCTAATACAAAGAAAGCTTGTGAAATAGCCATCGTGAAATGAAGACAGTGTTATAATCAGACGTTGTTAGCAATAAAGACGTAATTGGACTCTAGTCCCATGCATGGTGCCAAACCCAAATAACCTCTTATGCATGCATTTTTATTGTGCGGCGTATTTAATTGAATCCTTCGAAGCAATCAGGGATTCACATCCAGGTGATTATAATCCCTATCTCCTTCAGAGTTAAATTCCCAAGCGCTGTGGCCAGCAGGAAACTTCAAAGCAGAGCTGCTGAAGGAGGAGCAGGTCCGCAGCGCCCCGGCGTGCCAGGGAGCACGGTGTGTGCACCTCAGCAAATGTTTCACTCCAGCTGACCAGCTGATAATCCTGCAGGCTTTGCCTGCTCCTGGCAGGTGTTACTTTTGGGAGTGCCTGTGGCTGCAAGCAAGCAGGACGGAGGTGTGCAGCAGTGTGGTGCTGCTTGCAACACACAACGCACAGATGTTTCTTTTTGCTGACAACGAAAAAAAAAAAAAAAAAAAAAAAAGAGAAAAAAGGGCCTATGTTTTTTACAGAAGTGGTGTGGGCTGGAATCCCACCTTCTTGACAATCTGCATTTATGTAATAGTTAATATCTGTGCTTGTAAATGAACCAGCAGCAGACCAAGTCCTCTTGTATAGCCTCTGTTGTCCAGCAGTCATGGTGGTGTCCGAGGCACTTTTCACGTTATAGTTCACGTGGGTAGCATGGGCCAGGAGCAGATTGCAGGCAGTCTCCTAGTTTGGGGAAATAGGGGTGCATACGTAAATGAGCAATTAGTGGACTGATATCTAGATCAGCTTTTATTGCAAAAGAAATTACGTCCAGACCACTAACAGTCATGACTGTTTAAAAAGCCAGCTAAGCAATTAAGCATTAAACTGCTATGATGGGTAAATAAAAATATTGTTTTTAATGACCGTAATATATGTCAGGCTGGTTTGATTTATGCGCTAGGAGTAAAGACATTGCCCTGTTTTGTTAGACCAGTAGACAACCTTTTCTCATATGTGGTTCCAGAGTAGTTGGGAGGGTCTGCATGTTCCCAAAAGGTCTTCTGATTTTTATGAGTCTATGAACTCTACACTGCAGGTGCTTCTTTGGGAGATGCTAAGGGCACAGCAATATGTCTGGTGGGAAATGAAACTTCTGCAAAACAATTGTGTTTTTTTTGCTGTCATGCAATTTTTTTTTAGAAAGCAAGAGCATAGGCACTTGCATTTAAAACCTAAACAAAGCAATTCAAGAGGCATGCCAAAAATATCAAACTGAGAACAAATTAAAGCAGAAACACTGTAATGGCTGGTTTCAGATCTGAGCATGCCCACTGCTGTCATGGCAGAGGAAGACACGAGCAGTCTGGATGACCCCGTATTCGCTTGGCAGAAGTCTGCTACTTGCCCCATTCACGTACCTCCCTACTGCTTTGGGCAGGGATTTCCTTTGTTGCTGGATGTGCTTTAGCCCTGAAAAGGTAATCATGTCATTTTCAAGTAATTACAGCTAGCTCGGTATTTCACTGAAGTTAATGAGCAGGGCTGTTCAGTGCATTTTTGTGAGTTTAAAGTGACAAAACAAACAAATTGTTTTAGATAGAAGTTCACTGAAAGATGACAGCAAGATAACTTTTCAAATCTTATCCTAATATTTGCCTTATTCATTAAAAAAAAAATGCAATTTTTCCTGATTTTATTTCACATCATCTTGTTCTGGAGAGGGAGAGGAGGGGAGGAAGCTTCTTTTAGCTAGCCTGGCTCAGCAGTGCAGGAGCATGCTAGAGGAGGTGCTTGAATGGAAGTAGAATTTCAGAAATGTAAAAGGTTTTGCTCTGGTCCACAGGGAATTTGAGATGTGACGTTCAAAAAGCTGCCCCCCTCCCTTTTGTAAAGATGGTTTTCCCATTAAGACTCACATACCATCCTGGGAATGTAACAAGGATTTTGTCTGCTGATCCAAGACGACAAGGCCACATTCTCAGTGATTAGATCGCTAAGCTCAGCAGGGGCTGTTCAAATTCCTTCTCTGCACGTGGCTGGTGTGTTTACATCTGCCATGGGCACTTCTGTCCTGGTATGCTCTCTGCTTTGCCTGTATAAGTCGAAAAAGTAAAAGAGCGATCAACATGCAGTTCTTCCCACTATTTTAGTGAACAACAAAAGGTGAGTTCTTTGTTCAGGACAGTTTTTTATTTCGTCCTAACTATATTTATTAAGCTTGTTGCATGAAAACAGAGTTAACAGTAGCACTTGCTGTACAGCACTGCTGTGTTCTGTGCAACTGAAAATCCTGTAGTCTCCATTAACTTCGCAATATCAGGAAGTTTACTAAAATATCAGGAAGAGCTGCGCCATTAGGTGAGCTTTCCCAGACATTAGGGTGGAGGGGAGGATAAAATGTCAAGAACAAGCCTAACATCAGAACTCCCGTTTTACAGATGGGTAAAATGAAGCATAATAATCAAGTAATCATTTGGTCTTTCAAGATACTGTCCATCTTTAGCTCACAAAACAAAACAATCCAACTAAACAAACAAACTAACAACTAAAATCAGATATGATACAGACTTATAAAGTCATCTGTAATCATAGAATCATAGAATCGTAGAATCAGAATCACAGAAAGGTTTTGGTTGGAAGGAACTTTAAAGCCCATCTAGTTCCACCCCCCCTGCCATGGGCAGGGACACCTCCCACTATACAAGGTTGCTCAAAGCCCCATCCAGCCTGGTCTTGGAGTCTGAAGAAGATGAATGGAGAATGGACCATCAGGAAGCTGACAGGCAATGACTGAAAATGCAACCAAAGGCCATGATTTTCCTATAGTCACTAAAATCTGTTGCATGGTAAATACAAATCCCAAAATGCTGGGGAGGCCACTGGTATAAATCTGTTCACAAAGCAGTTAGATGAGTCTGAGGAGGTACATATCCAGATTCCTTGAATTGAGGATGTACAAGCAAGCTCCAGTTGCAGCAGTGCTTCAGATGTGGGTATCTGGAGGCTGGGAGGATGTATGAAGGAAAGGACCACTTGGCACACTCCCTACTTGAACTTGTGGCCTTTCCTCTGCATCCATACGTGGCCAATGCTGGAGACCAGGTCCTAAAACACTTTCAATATGATCTAGAACAGCAGTTGTCATGTTCCTATTGCTAGATAGATTCCATAGCTAAGCAATGCTTAGACACAGATTTATTTTAATGCATCTTTATTTCAAAAGCACTGTCAAGCAATTTCTAAATGATTTGAATAATTTCTTTTTGCATCCCTAACAAGTGATGCCAGGGAGCATTTGCTATTCAGCATTTATGAAAGTGTTGATCCATAATCAGATACTAATTGGTTTCTTTGCTGCCTGGAAATAATAATAAAAAATAAATAAAAACACAACAAATTCAAAGCTGTCTCATGAGGGCTGCAAAGATCAAATGCTTTTTGTTTCCCCTTTTCACCCACAATAGCCTGCTTCACAAACTAGCTGCAGTAGGCAGTGGCACAGCAAGTGAATTCCAAATCACTCTGGGCTTTGTTTGACCTAGCAGCCAGTGTAAAACAGAGACACAACTGCATTATAACTTCCTTCCCACAACACAGCATTGTTTGGAAGCTGCCCAAAAATATTACACCACCGACTGCATTCCTAGCTTAGTGGGTATTGGTAGCCCAGAAAAATGGTTCCCTCCTTTGTTAGTTAGAGAGCTTCCTAGTTTGTACCCTGTTGCAGGTGCTCTACTCCATTCCCAGTATCATCAGAATCAGTAAAAATAGAGGTGTCCTTACAAACAGACCAAACTGATGCAAGAGCATAAAAACATTCTTAATAGGAAAAATTATAACATTTTTACTGACTGTTAATGAAATGGCAGATACTGGTTCAAATGTTTGCTTATTTAATGTTTTCTTCCTCCTTCCTTCCCCTGCATCCATTTTTGTCCTCAAAAACAATTTAGTCACATCATCTTTCAGGTAGTGAAACCAATATGAGTACACTGTAACTGAATGGGAAAATATCATGAGTTTATATGACAGTGATAAGCTATGTGTTTTAATTAACATCATATCAGTGAAAGCCTTTGTTTTCATAGAGGCAAGAAGCATTTTAAACCCTTCCTGTACTCCAGCAAACAAGGCAACGAGGGCACAAAGTCCAGGATGTTAATTGCATGTTCCGGGTTTCACTGTTTCAGGGCTTAAGACTGTAAGACATAATATTGTATCCTAGGTATCTAGAAAGATAATTTGGGCTAATTCAGTAAAATAAATAAATAAATAAATGTGTAATCAATCCTGGCTGCTGCTCAGGTTAGGTATAACAATTCTGACACACACCACTCCTTATCTAAAGCCAGACAGTCTTTGGGCCTGATCCAAAGCCCACTGAGGACAGCAGGAGTCTTCCCACTGACTTCAATGGGCTCCCAACCAGGCTGTTTGCTCTCATCTATTTATAGGCCTTTTCTGTCATGATCTGTTGCATTTTTACACTGTCTGACCAGGTTCTTGTTAACCACGCAGCAGCATGATGGAGAGCACCAAGCAGAAGAGGCCCAGGAGGGGCTGGGGGCAGGAAGCCTGTGCTTGATGCTGGCGGCAGCTTCTCCATAGGGCCAGGCCCCGGTCCCTACAGAAGGAGTGGGCGGAAGGAACAGGGTCCTGCCCTGCAAGGCACACTGCTCAGGAAATGGCTTTCGGTTCTGGCCTCGCTTACTGAGGGTTTCTCTGCAGATGTCCAGCCACAACGTCCAACCTGGAGAACGGTCCTGAGAGAGCTGGCGGCAGGTCCACTGGCTTCCTTCACTTTCCAGACCTGTTGCTTGTGCCCTACCCTCTACAAAACACAGTTTGGAAAAGGAAAGTGGGTTTGTTAAAACCCTGGTGTCCTTGTTTCAGGCTTTCTTGTCCTTTCCCCAGTGGTGTCGTTCTGTAGGAATTGTCACTGTGGGGCTGGGGAAGGCACCATAGATGGTGCTGGTCCCCAGGGATGCTCCTACAGCCTACCACAGGGCCTAACAGGAATAACACAGGGCTGGTGTGGGACCGAGGTAGTGGTGCAAGGTGAGGCACCTTCAACATGGAGCACTCCCAGGTGGCTCACAGAGCAGTGCAGAAACCAGGGGCTCCCCTGCTTGCCACAGGGAGAAATTATTCCACAGCACTCCATCGGAGGACAGGCTGGGAGATGAGAAGCACACGTTTCAAACTGAATTATCACTTGGACTTAAGCAGACAAATGTAATTATGTCAGTTAACAACGATATGGCAGCTTTGATGATAGCAGTAGTTCTTGCTGTGTGACTCCGAAGCGACAACACCAGTCTGTGCAAGCATAGTGCTGTCAGTGGCAGACAGGGAGAGTCATTTTTAATTATTCTGGTTACAGTCTTTGTGGGAGAACATAAACTTGTATCCAAGATAGAGACGAATTGCTGTCCATAAAAAAAAAAAAATATTAACTCAGGTTTAAACAGAGCTGAAAATTAATGGTTGAGATCATAGGGATGAAGTGTTAAAGGTATCTCCTACCTGTAAGTCAGGAAAGCAGATGCTCTAACTGCCCATCTCACACTGCCATGTAGTCCTGTGTCACTGTTTCTGGGAAGCTCACTGCAGTTTCCTCTGACCATGGTCTCATGGCCTGACACAGGCAGGCCAAGAAAATGGCTTTTCAAGGTCAGTCTGGAGAGACCTGGCTACAGGGCACCTGTCCCAGCTTCAGCCACAGAAATACCTGCAGTGGCTGGGCTGAGCCTGTGCACGTAGCTCTCCTCCCAGTGGTTGCAGTTTTAACCAGCAGATCACAGCATGTTCTCACGGTTGGAAGATCTCATTGTCCCACGTTACTTTCTTCTTGCAATTTGTGAAAATCAGTGTCTGTATTGTGCCCTCCCTTCAGATTCACACTAAAGGTAACAACCTATTTGCTGCCAGGTGCACACTGAGGACAATGAGATGTCTGTGCCATTGCTCTTGTAGATACTGATTAAAGATTGTGCAGGCAACCCACCCAGAAAAAAAAGCAACAATATGGTCACCAAGAGTTGTACCGTAGACTGGTCACCATAGTCTGTATGTAGAAAGTGGAAGAACTCTTTCTGCAAGAGCACTTCTTAAATTCTGAGGGCTTGACTGCAGACAAAACCGTTCGTTTTGCATTTTAGAATACAGTTCGTATAACCTAAATATGCTTCTCTTCATAAAACTTAGATGATTCAAGCTAAAGAAAACAAGCTGTAGGTTTAGCACC